CCAATAAAATTTACATAATAAAATGAGTTGAATTTACCAAAATTTAGACAGTTCAAGATAATCAATTTTGGTTCTAAACATAATCTCCTCAATAATAGGTTTGATATCCCTCTAAAAAAGCAAAAATTCACTGAATATAAAGTGAAAATCTATACACTGATTTATTGCGTAAGTATTCTATTGAATGATTAACAATATTTTAGTAAATATAACTAAATTAATAGTATTTGAAAATTAAATTAATTCTGTTGGTAGACTTAAACATAAAAGCTAGTGGTTTTAATGATAAATTAGATTGCTTTTAAGGATACTAAAATTAAATCATTTTATTTTTTTCAATGCTTGCTGATATAATTAATTTTATATATTGTTATAAATATTTAGCGATTAAACTATCTACCATGTATAGAGTACCACTTGAGAATTCGACTTTGATGCAAAAGTGAATATTTGTAGGGTACTAAAATTGTAATTAACCTAAAATCAATTTTTCTGTTGATAGAACATCAAGGATAATGTATAATTGGAAATAATATTTAATTTGGTTTGGTAGAGGTAACAATGTTTAATTTGATGTATGTGTTTCTATGAGACTTGAATTCGCAAGATTGAATTAAGAAAAAGATAAATTAAAGCATTAAATTTTAGTGATTAAGGAAAGCATTCGTGAAAATAAAAATTCCGAATTTTTGTTAAAAGACACACCCTTTCAAATTAATATAGTAATTTTTTTATAGAATTCTATTCATATTAACAAATTAATCAATAATTAAAGGTTATCGAATAATTATTTTACGCAATAAAATTATAGGAATGTAAATTAATATTTTTAGTTTGTGAAATTGAAAATTTAAACAATAAAAGTAATGATGAATTGATTAATTAATAATAAATAAGGATAAAATTTGTTAAATTATTAGATAAGCTATAAATTATTCGAATTAAATAAAAATTATAAAAAATTGTATTGTTTTAAATTTTTAGCATTTTTATCAATTATTTTATAATTTAAGTTTTAGTTAAAATTAAATTAACTAAAATTATTTGAAGAATATTTTAAAACAGAAACAGAGAGACTACGATGAATTATATAAAGTTTAATGTTCGTTATTAGAAAATTATATTTTATAAAATCAAAAATTCTTTCACGATTTTTCACCAATATTAGATTTCAAGCCATCGCTTGCATTTTACAATTCAAACATAAAAAGAAAAGTACAGTTGAAGTGAAAGTTCCACTGCACAATAACATTTTCACCCTTTTAACTGATTTAAGAATTAATGAAGAGTAAAAGATTGAATAGAAAAAGTTAGACATTTAAATATCATAAATTATGAAATAAGATTGTAGTGGTTAAACTAAAATTAACATTTAAATATGGATCTTTAAATATTTAATGGAGCTTCTTCTTCATAAAATTATTCTTAATGTACAATATTGCTGAGATTATAATTATGCTATAGATTCAGCTTGTGTATCAATGTCTGAAGAGAAATGGAAAAACAATTAGTTTATAGAACGATCTGTGAGAATTTTAAAATAATTGGAGGATGTTAATTTGATAAAAATTAAATCCATATATTTGGATTAATGATCAATGCTATATAAAATTTGCTAAACTGTTTCATCTTCATTTACTAAACATAAGGAGAGTAATTCCTATCTTCCATACTGCATCATTAAATAAAAAGGAGGATGCCCTAGAAAACAGAAATACAAGGATTATAAAATTAGAGGCTTGCTAAAATAGTATGTAAATTAATACTTTTCCAATTAATATTTGAATTTTTGTGGTAATGGTATTGCTTCAACCAAAGATGAATTATGTGAAGATGGTAATTATAGAATGTCCATATCTAGATATTACTAAGTTGTGTTTAGAATGTTATAAGATTGGATGTACTTCAAAATATTATGATGGTTGTGCATTAGAGAGTGAAGAGAAATAACACTTAATTTGATGGATGGTAAAAATATTTTATTAAGGTCTCCAGAAATACATCAATTGTTTTCAAGGATATAATGTGAACAAGGATGTTTAGAAGATGGAACCATTATTAGAATAATAGAAGCATTTAAGAGATCAAATTATCATTCACTGAATAGTGAATTTGAAATAAATCATTGGAAAAGA